TGGTGGGCCTGTGCCAACAAGATATTTTCGCGGGCGCCCCAACCCTCTCTTGCCGACTTCTGCCCTCTGGTTGGACACCAGAGGGCAAAAATTGGTCGTCTGTTAGTTTCGCCCCTGTTGTTGCTGTCGTTGCCGCTGGTAAGTTATGCTCTCTTCTTAGGTCTGCCGTACTCTCCAAAAGTCCATACCGTGCCCTCTGGACACTTGCCTTGTATAAAGCGAAGTTTGGACACGCCCCCTTCTGCCACGATTTATGGGCTTTGCCGCAATTGTAGCAAAACAGCGACTTCCTCGGGCGGTCTCTGGTCTGGTGAGTGCCCGCACACTTACTGTTGGAAATATCGCGCAATGTAATGGGCGCAATATTCATGGAACGAAAGTAGAAGTTGACTAAAAGAGTGTCATGTTCGGATTACAGCTAAAAGTGTGGGAAGTGTGCGCTACAAGTACAAGTGTAAGCGACACAGAGCCTAAGCCACAGTATAAACGAGTGTGGCGCCATCTAGGTATAGAAAACCCCCAACAACCTCCTTGCGCCCACGCCATACAGCCGCTCATGTCTCCAATAGGTAGCCTGAAGCGCTACCATACTACCTACTCCAACCTCTTAAATATACACGAGATCGTGTCGGGAACTTAGACGAAATGGAGGGCCCATACGTCCACAACACTCCGTGTCTCCATTTCCAACACTTACCACATCTTTTCTGCTTATTGCATGAGGCTTGAGTATGCCCCCATTGGCTGCAGTTAAAGTATTGCTTGAATTATGCCCGGGGTGACCAGAGCTGGGCCGTGTATAGAATTGGGTTGAGCACAATTCCGTTTCGAATCACCTCGCGTTGAAGAGCCTCTGTCGGCAGACTCGCGATCACCGACCCTCGAGTATGGCCATTCTTGTTCCTCCATTGGTACTCCTTCCCGTGGTAAAGCCACATCAGTCTGTTAATCTGGATTCCAGGAATCCGAACTTTTGTCTCCGAATTGATTTAGAAGATCACGCTGCCATTTTTGGTGTCTTTTCCACCTTGTGTTATTGTCCCCAAAGGGACTCCCAAAATTTCATCAGGATAATCCTGATTTACGACGCAGAACTCCTTTGGCTGTGCCACATTCAAGGCAGCGTCTCACTGGGAGATCGACTGCACGAACACCTCAGTGTCGTTACTCATTAACTGCCTTACGAAGTGTGCCCCCTCGATATGTATTTTTGCTTTGTTAAGCAGCTCTGCCGGCTGCATTTTATCCGATCCTTGAACTCTTATTCATACTGCCGCTTTAGTCGCTGGAGGTGCGACGACTGACCCGTAAGTAGGTCGACCTCCCATTACTTGTATTGACTGAGCAGTCTTGCGCACTGGCTCCTCGAGGCTCTTATTTATTGCATTTTCTAAGGCCAGCATCCTTTCTTCCATTGGTGTCGCTCTTATTGTCGATTCTAGTGAAAATGTATGCGACTTGAGGGCGTCAATAGCCCCTTCTACCTCCGCCATTGGTGCCGCAATTGGGTTAATACCTGCCATCACATTCTGTCGCGAACCTTGTTTAGGAAAATCCCTATAAACTTCAAGTTATCCATGTTAACGTCTATAGAGATCGCGAGAGATTCTAGAGCCATGATTGTGGCTATTCCACAACCCATTGTTTATTTTATTATTATTAATTCATTTTGTTGTCTTGTCTAAGTCTATGACTATGTAGGACATGCAGGTCCTCTCAAACAGTACCACCCCCCACAAGCCCTCATTCGATCATACACTTTGAGGAGCCCTTTAACCTTCATCATCTCCCCTCACCAGCCAGCGAAACGGTGGCCATTTGCCGGTGTATGGCAGCCGGAAAAAATCGCATAAACCACTGGGTGCGGAGCTCTTCTAATACCGACATTAGGACTAAATCCGAAGATATAGTGACCCTTCTGAAGCGTTCGAGGAGGCCGGCTAGCTGAGCACTGCAGACTTGTGTGTACCCAGGGAATTTAACACTTTGTCTTTCTAGCCTCCTTCCAACTCCTTCCAGAAGGTCGTGCTGAAATGTCAGAAAAGCCTTGATAGAGCGTAATTGCTGTATAGTAGCTTAGCCTGACTTCTTTTGTGCCGTCCAGGGCGCTGGAGAGTGCCGTTGACTCATCATCAATAGAAGCCCTCCTGGCTAATTGGCCGAAATCTCGGTCTTGGCGCCCACAAAAATTCTAAAGTTGAAAGCCCCTCGAAAATGTCAGTCCCAGCATGGTTTTCAGAGACCTGTTCCCCCTCTCGTTTCACATCTCAGCCGCCTGTCCTTCCTCAAGATTTACAACCCCATTAGAGCATCAGTCTCCCATAAATCAAGACCCCAACTTTGTATTTTTTGACTTGATTTCCTCCTTGCGGGTATACGTAGCGTCGTAAATTTGTAGTGAGTGATGGCCGATAATAAATGAGGCAAGCTCCTGTTTGCAATTGGGGTAACGCATTTATCGGTCGTCGAGGCGAGATGATATGTGGTTAGAAAGAGGTTGAGGACCCAGAAGATAATGGTGAGTGCTGCATGGTTGAGAAGTCGTGAAATGGAGATATGCAGAGCATGCTGAGCGATTACACCGGCACCACTGGAAGGAGAAGAATTCGTCTGTGCCGGCGCGTAACCCATTGTTGGTTGTGGTGGTGCTGTGAAAAAAATTGCAGCCGCGAAGTCCACCTTACTGGCTTCCCAACTCGCCGTGCCGAAGCGCAACGTGAAAAAATTGAGGGGTCAGGTAATATTGGACTAATAAGATGATAATAATTATCAAAACGATGAAATCAAGGTCATAAAACGTGGTGCCGCTTTCAGATAAAAATGATGTTTTTTTAATACAAATATTATTATTATTATTATTTCATTTCATTTTATTGTCTTGTCTTGTTAGATCCTATGACTATGTAGTACATGCAGGTCCTCTATGCGTACAGGCCAAGGATACCTATACCAATAGTATATCCCCTCCTATGCCCCTCATACAGCTCCCCTCAAATAGTACCGTTCAATTTCTCACTTGATAATTTACATGGAGGAGCCCTTTGCCCTTCAATGTCTTCTCTTTCCAGCCAATGAAACCAAGCTCGTTCGCGGGTGCATGGTAGTCGGTGGAAATCCCAAAAACCACTGGGTGTTAGGCTCTTCTAATACCGACATTAGGACTAAATCCGAAGAAATTGCTACCCTTCTAATATAAGTTGTATCAGATTGCAACATATATGTAGACTTGGTTACCAGATTACTATGATGTTGTTGTATTTCAATAACATTATAAAAGGAAACGGCACACGGCTGGCACCTCAACAACGTGATGGCTTATATCTACCGGTAATACTTAGTGTCACTAGCTTGAAAGCTCTAACATTAGTGTGGAGTTTGCCGATAATCTAGGTGTCTTATCTGTAAATCAAAGGTTTGGAAAAATAAAATTTCTAATTTGATAATCGTTTTGGATAGTCAATTAGCTGAGTAATTATCCATACATGCTCGTTTTTTTTAAATCATTTAATGTGTATTCAGCTTTAAAGCTATGACACATGACCGGTGCTATGTATACATATTGGATGACTCTTTTGACGTTAGAGATACTCATACTCTGGATTTCATTTGCAAATACCTCTATGAGGTATGCTTGCTTACACAAACAGTCGACTCTCCTCCGTGAGTACCCACCAAAGGGACATTTCAAAACCTTTGGTTATCCAAGCATGCCTTCGTCAACAATGCATAGCAGCACTGCGAGAAATGTAATTGTGTTTTGCCGGATCCGAACCAGCGATCTACTGTCTCAAGTGGGATATGTATCCAAGCTATCCAGACTCTACCTGACAGACCAGCCAAGACGATGTACCACCGCACCATCCAACCATGGCGGTATTTATAGTGTCGCCTGCACTCTCGCAACCGGAGGCTTAGCACGCACAAAGCTCAATTTGTAAAAACTCCTTGCCAAAATTCAAAATTCCACGCCTGTTGAGACTGTATCCATCCTTCGCATCATCTTGTTAACTTGTCCTGAATCCTCTCACGCCAATCCCAAAGAACAGTCTCCCAGATTTGTGCGCCACGCTTTGTGTCCTCCGTCGGATTTAAATATCGGCTTGGGCGTGTATTTGGTGACCGGCTGAGGCCAAAGAAAGTCGGCGAGAGGTGTGGTCATTGGAATGAGGATGTACTAGGTCGTACTTGTAAACTTGATGAGGCTTCGGTAGGAATCGATTTCGTTGGGAGTGAAAGATTGATATGGTGGAGTATTTTGAATCATTGCCTCGTGGGCCAACTTGTTCGGTATTGCGAAATTTGACTGAACTTAGCTCTGAGAGAATGTTTCACTCCCAGGTTCGTAGAGGGCACCACTGACAGGTGTTCAGTCTCGCCCTCCCATTAATACTCGTTGGATTGCAAGCTAGAACTTGAATAAACAATTAGCTCTGACCTAGTCTGGAATAGTTCCAAAACGAGGCCAAATAGACTTCTGTTCCATGCGAAAATTTGGATATCTGTAAAAGAGGATATTTAACGGGGTAGCGATCCCATCCTGGTGGGTGATATCATCTCGTCCTTAAGTAAGCTTGGGCCCGATTAAAACCTGAGGTTGTAGCTGATAAGGATGAAAGCTCGGCAGGTTAGATCCCTACCTAGGCACAATAAAACAAGTAAGATGGTCTATTCTTACTCAACTTGTCGCCTTACAGGTGTAGGACGACCTAGGTCGCATCACCCACTAGATATATTTTTATTAAATACACGACATATGCCTCTTCTGTCCACAACCGTATGTTAGGCCGAATTTTCCTCCAGTAGCTCAATTACGCAAGTCAACGACGCATTCCTTGATGGTTTTAGTTCCAAAGCTTTTAACTCATTCAAGGATCTCGTCTGCCGTTGCTTCTAGTAGCCATCTTCGATTCACCACCTTCATTGATACACCTAAACATATTTTTGCAGTCCTACCCAACAGGCTTTTATTTTCATAAGGCTCTACCGTATTTCCAACGATCATGTCGCAAAAATTAATTTGCCTTGACCCTGCAAATACGAGCTCTCCGAAGAATTCGATTCAGCAATTAGTAATTGGGCTGACAAAAGGGAACCAAGAAGAGGATAGAATATGCCAAGAGCTGAGCAGTATCTCTAAATTTCTCAGTGACAATACTGTGGTGGAAAATATCCTCAAAGAAGTCAACCAGACTCAAAATCAACTTACTTACGTCGACTGTCTCGTAAGAGTTCTCGAGTACTTAGACCCAAAGAAACCACAGACAGTGCAAAGTCATGCCACCATTGCTGTGTCTTTGTATATCAAGGCTATGGGCGATGTTGGTAGCGATGCAGTATCTGAATTTCTTCTCAAGAAAATCCAAAAGGAGACGTATGAGGATAGTATTGTAGCATTCTCTATTGCCACCTTTCTCTTTCCAGTCATTCCCGACCTAATATCTAGTCTTTTTCTAAAAGAAGGCTTCGTTTCTAGTCTTGGGATCATGATAAGAGGGACATGGAAGAGCAACGAGATGGACTTGGTTGTTTTAAAATTACTCAATGCCGCTTGCATAAGCACACCTTGCCGAGAGGCTATGCGAGCTACTTGCATCAGATGGTTGGAAGAGATTATTTTCAATACTCCTAAATCACATATGGATTCATTTCTATTAGGAAGAACACAACCCGTGGAGAACAATATGTCACAAAAAGATCTTCATTTTCAGCTAACTTTAAATCTAGCATCTGTCATCTTGAGTAAGCTTCAGGTGGGTGGAAATTCTACATCTATTTTCTCAATAACAAGCAGAATATGAGGACGTTTATATAAACGCCGCCCTAACTAACTCTCGCTGAAGGTGGTCACTTCAAAAGCTATTGATGCATCAGGAAATCAAAGCTCGCCGACATATATAAGTAGCAACGAATTGCATGAGAGGCTTAAAAGGATGCTATTTTCCAGCTTCTCCCAAGAATATTCAATCGAAGGTCTTGCTTATTCTTCTATACAACCCCATATTAAAGAAGATTTAGCTTCGGATAAAGTATTTCTCGAAACTTTGATCAAAGTATTAGGAAATGCCCCAGCAAAATCACCTGAGACATATGGTGCCCTCACAATCTTAATGAATCTCACTTTGTACATGCCAGCTTTATCAGAAGAGCAAAAGCGAATAAGTCAATTGAAAGCTTATGCCAACGCGACAAAAGAATCCAATACAGATAAATTAAATAATAATGAAAACGTCCAAAAGCGCTGCCGGGCCATCTTTGAGGCAGGGGTGATACCAGTGCTAGTGACGCATAGCCAGCATGGTTCCTTACCATCTCTCACACTTGTAACATCTATTATATTCTCATTATCTAAATTGCCAAATATTAGGGGGATTATGGCGCAACAGGGAGCCGTCAAGTTACTTTTGAACGCTTTTTCTACTTTTCCACCTGATTATGAGTCTGCTCGTCGGACAACGGCTCATGCTCTAGCCTGCATTCTTATCTCTACGAATCCACTCCATGTTTTTGGTGGAGCTAGTCCGCTTTCTATTGTCTCGGCAATTAGGCCGCTTGTTTTAATCTTATCAGAAGATCCAGCTAGTCAAACATGTGACCTCCTACCAGTATTCGAGTCTCTACTCGCGCTCACAAATTTGGCTTCGACTGATGATATTGCTCGAGATCCGATCATTCGCCTTGCGTGCTCTCAGATAGATGAGTTACTATTATCTAATAACACAATGATTACTCGTGCAGCTGCAGAACTTGTATGCAACTTAGTTCAATCCCCAGAGGGAGTTCATAGATTTGGGCATGGAGAACAACAAGCAGGTAATCGTTTACACATACTAATAGCCTTGACTGATGTCGAAGATATTGCAACACGAAGAGCTGCCGGTGGTGCCTTAGCTAGCTTGACTGCATGGGATACAGTCGTACCAGCAATTTTAGGACGGGAAACAGGTGTAAAGCGCTTGCTTGCTCTTTGTAACGAAGACCAGGAAGAGCTACGACATCGTGGTATAGCTTCCGTACTAAATCTATTGAGCGCACCAGGCGAGTCAGGAATTAGGGCTCGAATAAAAATTGAGGAGGAGGCTGGAATAAATGTTCTCAAGGAATGCCTGAAGAAATCAAGAAGTCAGGAAGTACTTGATATCACAGTGGAGGCCTTAAAAAAGTTACTCCCCAACAGTTAATACACAGCCAGCTATATAATTTTCGAGTATAGGAATTTTTTGTTAATATATCCCGTAATCTAGAATACTGCTGTATATCATAAGCCTAAAGGACCTTATAGAAACCAATTTAACACAACCCATAAGTGACGATACATGCTACATAAACTTGAAGGGGGACTATTCTCAACATCTGTCAGCGGTGTCCCCTACGAACCTCCAGCTCTCACTGTAGAGTCTGCAGAGCCGAGATTGAGTAACAAAGTCCTCACTTCGAAGAGGATTCGCAATCGCTTTCGCGGTCTGTATCGTCTTCATCTCTCAACACATTCCTCTATCACCATTATCATGAAGCCAACCACGATCAGATCAGATGGTAGGGTCGAAGCACTACTCGTCACCAAACCTTGATCATGGAGGAAAAGCCATCCGATGAGTTTCTGGAGCGTACCCAGCACCCGATACGGAGATGGTGGATTGGATCAAGTCGGCCTCGACTGTTACAAAGAAGGCAGATATAGATGAATATGCGCATCTCATGTGGTCCCGGTGTCTAGGCCTCGCCTGGCTGGGATTGCAGGCTTTTTAAGACTTTTTCCCGCGCGCGCAGTTTCCATCGCTACCATTTTAATTTTTTTTGGGTAGAAGGTTCCGTGGAAAAGGTGGCTGAATTCCACGGGTAAATACTGAGCTGAATGGCTATTCATCAAGGGGAATATATCAATGATCTTTCAAGTAACAAAAGAGGATAGGAGCACTGTACAAGGTGTGGCCTGGGTCAGAGAGGAGCCCAATGTGCTAGATAGTCATAGACTCAAGTAGCACAATAAACACAAAAACACACACATACATAAACTTGAAAAATTATTGTATATCGAAGTACCGCTGGATGATTAGAGGCATGTGTTGAGAAAAATATGTCTTGTCTTGTTCATTTAAGTGCTAGGTAAAGTGATTCCCGTTGCACTCCCACTGGAGCTTAAGCACGGGTGGGGCCGGGTTGGATCAGGTTAACTACCATTAAGTACATCTACCTCGTCCCACCTAAATGACCGGACTACCTCAGACCTCACCCATGTGTTGAATCATGTCAAGCCCAACCGTCCAGAGAACCCCCTTTTGGCGCGCCGAAGCGTAAGTTCCTCCTCAGCCTCGGCCACCACGCGCCCGAGCCCTTGACACCTTCGCGATCTGTAACTTTTCCCTTCGCTTCATTCCCAGCTTTTGGTCATCTCAGCATCTCCTCATCTCATCCAGGGGTCGTTTTCTTCACTGGAGGCCTCATCCAGTCACCCACTAAGGCCTTCTTAGTTTGTATTCCCTTTTTAAGTTACTTCATACAGCACCCCTCTGTCCTTCAGCCGATCTCGTCATCCCAGAAACTTTGTAGAATGTCCACCCCTCCGGCCTTGCCCCGTCGCTGTCGTACCCCTAACCGTGAAGGTCGAAAACGCAACTGAGAGCTCAAGACCGAGGCACCGATGCCCTAGCCTATGTCGACCGCTCTAGTTGGTGTGCCGGCGACATGTCGTACGTATTTCGTCGGTGGCGATTCGTTGTAGGTCGAGTTGATGACGCATTTGAGGCCGGTATTTCGACCGTACCTTCACAGCGACTGGCAGTTGCGTAGGGTCGGACATCCTCTTGCTTCTTTGTTGGCGATTTGGCTTTTGGAGGTATGGGATTGCTTCGGTAGGTGGTGAGATGATTCTTGAGAGGGCCGCGAGATGAGTTTGGCTAGGAATGATTTTCCAGAGAAATAGAAAATAAGATTTTGGAGGTGTCGGTTGTTGTGATACGAACATCAGACAGGTTATAGGCTGTCTGCGATTCGTGTCTGGGGTGTAGATTGTTGATTTCGTTGAGTTTTGCAGTCGTGAAATCTCTGCAAGTTGGTTTTTCGACCAAAAATGAGCCAACACCACTCCTCCCGATCGCCAACTCGACGAAACCTCCCAAATTCACCCTTTGTCGTGACTGAATCTCGGCTCTGGGAGAATATTTCACCCCAAGGTTCGTAGAGGACACCACTGACAGGTGTTCAGCCTTCGTCCTCCAGAGATTTATATGTATTGTGTGGCTCTGTAAATTTGGTCCCATAAATTTTTATGTAGACTAATGACTTCTTACTATTGTGAGTCTTACTAACCCAATGATTAAAAAAAGAGTCCGACTGACCGCTAGGCTTTTTTTGTGATAGACGCTGGTCCTAACCCTGTTACTGTATAGTGTTTGGCCTATATCATGGCTAGAAACGTGCAAGGAAGTTCGGCTAGATTATATGTAACTGTTAATAAATAGATAAAAGACATAAGAGTAATTTTGATATATTCTTATGAGTTGATCTGTGCTGTGGTTGTGAACAATGCGGAAGTCGTACTGATGAGTGGGTGATATGACTAGCTATGGGTGACAGTGAATAGGTTCATACAAAAATTTGCTATAGGGATATGAACAAAAATTGTATAAATAGAGCCGTGTCCTTTTATCGTGAGTATAGCTATGAGATAATGTAAATGTTAGCTTAACCAGTACGTTAGTAAAAAATAGGATTTTATTATCCTGATTTGGCGCCCTGCGGTCTACGCAGTTTTTTCAGAAGATATATTTTTTATGAATGAGTGAATGAGTGAGTGAGTGAGTGAGTGAGTGGTTGTTTATTGTCCTAAAAATTCTATAACTATGTAAGGAAATGTAGGTCCTTTCTGCCTACAGGCCGGGAGTATCTATGTCCCGGGTAGTATACTCCCTCCTTTGCCTCCTTCACGACTTCTTTCCAGCAGTAATACCCCCACAGATCTTCATTCGAGTACACACTAAGAGGAGCCATTATCCCGTCATTATCTCCCCTATCCAGCCAACGAAACGATGGCCATTTGCGGGTGTGTTGCTGCAGGGAAAAGTCACAAAGACCACTGGGTGCGGGGCTCTCCTATGACGAAGAGGCTGGCTAGCCGGGCGCAGCAGATCTGTGTATACCTAAGAGCGTCTCTCAACCTTCCTAGCCTCCTCCTTACTCCTCCCTTGATTCATGCCGCTGGACAAACCGAAGGTCATGAAAGGATGTCAGAAAAGTCTTGGTTGAGAGTGACTGTCGTGAGAGAGTCTAGTCTAGCATCCAAAAGTCGTTACGGACGTGGGGTTGTTGAGTAACTCATGTATTTCAGATGTTCTCCTGGCTAGTAGATTCGGAAGTCTAGATTAGAAGGGACGATATTGTAGACAAGTGGATACCTGCTTTTCTTGAGGGCGGACGGGTCTTTTACTTTGCTTTGGTGGGCTTTTTGTTTGTCTGCAGGTGGGTAGCACATGTTGTAATATAACGAGGGCTTCTCTGACTACCGTTGTAGCGTTTGGTATCGCATTATCTTTCCTCATTCCCAGCATAATTATCATCGTCTTTGTCATCTTATGTGTTGTCGGAAGCGTATCTTTCACAGAGGGGGAGATAACTCAGCTCAAAGTTGATAAGGTGTTAATCACTCTCGGCTCTGCAGACTCGACTGAGAGAGTTAGAGGCTCGTAGGAAACACCACTAACAGGTGTTGAGAATAGTCCCTCTTTTATGAATGACTTACTTGGACATTTGGAAAATTCGTACTCGAATTTTGTTAGCAGAATTAAACTGAGGATCACCCTTGCGGTATGTAACCTCTTACGTGCATACCCACCACAGGAAAAAGCGTAAATCCCCATGGTTTTCCTGATGTGCTTTCGTCACCCTAGGATTACAATATTACCGCGAGAGAAGAGGCACATGGGTCTTACTGGATTCAAACTAGCTTTCTCCGGCCTCAAAATGGATAGGCGTTCAAGCCAACTAGTACCAACTTTGGAGACCCGCCTACAGAATGTACCACGGCACCTTCCATCATTGGCTTGTTTTTATATTATCAACTATGCTCTTGCTATCGGGCTGGATGGTGCATTGTTACACCATTCGGTCCGTTGTCCCACGTAGACAGTGAGTAGCTTGAACACCTGTCCCAACTGTAGCAGCTGAAAGCTGGTTCGGATTTAGTAAAACCCACACACTTTTCTCCCCTACGGTGACATTGTACTATTGTGGTGATGAAAGCAAATTCAGATAGCCACAAGCGTCTCACGCTTTTGCCTGTGGTTGGTATGCACAGAAGATATTGTACGGCGTAAGGGCTAACCTCGTGTGGTGTCTGCAAATGAAATCTGATTGTGAGTATACTAAATGTCAAGTTGTCTCATCCTACTTAAAGTACTTATCTTCCGATAAAAACCTGCATGGGCCTCAAGGCGCCAAGTCAGGATAATGAAATATATACATATCCTCTTACAATCGAAGGCGTGGCACGCTCAGAGCTCCTCAATTTTTAGATCTCCTCGCCAAAATTTCACATGTCACATCTGTCGGGATTTTACCCTTTCTTTCTATCATCTTGTAAACTCGTCCTTATTCCTCTCACGTTCTTCCAATAGAGCCACCTCCTAAACTTGTTCGCCACGATTTATTTTCTCAGGGGAGGGGTTTCGCACTGTCGTCGGCATATATTTGGCGGCCGGCTGAGGCCAGAGATTAGTCGATGAGAGGTGTAGTCATTGAAATGACGATGTAACAGGTCGTAATTGAAAAACTGAAGAGATTTTGATATGAACCGATATCTTTTGGAGTCAGAGATGGTTTTGGTGGAGAGTCATGCATCATTGCCTTGTGGGCCAACTTCTTCGGTATTACGAAATTTGACCGGGTTTATTGTGAGTGTGTTGTTTATCGTGCTACTTGAGTTTATGACTATCTAGCACATTGGGCTCCTGTCTGGCCCAGGCCACACCTTGCACAGTGCTCTCTGCCCCTTTTTTTACTTAAAAGATCATTGATATATTGCCCGTGATGAATAGCCATTCGGCTCAGTGTTTACCCGTGGAATTCAGACACCTTTTCCTCGGAACCTTCTACCCAAAAAAAATAAAAATGGTAGCAATGGAAACTGCGTGCGCGGGAAAAAGTCTTAAAAAGCCTGCAATCCCAGCCAGGCGAGGCCTAGACACCGGGACCACATGAGATGCGCATATTCATCTATATCTGCCTTCTTTGTAACAGTAGAGGCCGACTTGATCCAATTCACCATTTTTGTATCGGGTGCTGGGTACGCTCCAGAAACTCATCGGATGGCTTTTCCTCCATGACCAAGGGTTGGTTACGAGAAGGGCTTCGACTCTACCATTTGATCTGATCGTGGTTAGCTTCATGATAGTTGTGATACGAGGCTGAGTTGAGAGATGAAGAATATGGAGATGGCGAAAGCGACTGGGAATCCTCATCGAAGTGAGGATCTTGTTGCCCTATCTCGGCTCTGTAGATTCCACAGTGAGAGCTAGAGGTTCGTAGGGGACATCACTGACAGGTCTTGAGAATAATCCCCTGAAAATTGTCAGAATTTGGCCCTGACGGAATAAATGACGACAGACAACGTAGGGGCACCGCAGACAGGTGTTCAGCCTCTGTATCCCTGACAGCCACTAGTCAACCATGTTCTTCATTCGAAGAGCTTCAACGCCTAGTCGATAGGACTGATGAGCCTGACCATGATTTTTGAATTTGATTTCAAATCAACCGATCAGACATCCTAAGGATCTATACATGTGACTATCTTCATTATTTACAGAGGAGGAAACCAATTTGGTGAAAACCCCCTGATCCCGTCTGTTTATATTACTATCAAATTGTTTAGTTTACCTTCAGGAAGTGCACTGTCAGTGTGGATCCCATCCGATCTCCTTCCATACTTTTTTATTCTATCCGACATTGCTACCTCGACTTCTCCTGCAAGTCGAAACTGTTTTATCCATCCTTTGTTTAGTATTCACTGTGCAGCTCTAGCCACGTTGTCTGGGTTATTCATCATTGCATCAAATGACCTGTCTTTAGTTAGTCAGAGAAGGTCGCCCCTTCTATTTGCCCACTGCAGACACGTCAATACCATGTGTTTTACTTTTTGTGACGGATCTCCACATTGATAGCCAGGGCTTTCTACCCCGGGTACTTTTCTTCTCTGCAGACAAGAATTAAGCCCGATATGCTCGCGTCTTCGCTTGATGGCGACACTGCTATAAGCCCTGCTTAGGTTGCGGCCTCACCATAATTATTTTCAACATTAATGAGGCGATTGACCCGCTCTCGGCGCACCAAATACCAATCAAAATAGTGGACGACGCTTGCCACAATTCTATTACCTGTCTATTACAGAGAGAGTGCGCTCCCCTGCCTGCATGGCAGCTTACAGACAATTGCCCAATCATTTAATTAAGGTTCAATCTTTAGATTACTGCAGGGGGCGCTATTTCGAGAGGTCACCTGCATTCTTTGGAAAATGCGACGGGTAAAAATGGGGGAAAAGATAATTCGATTGCGGTTCGATCCCAGTGTTAGTCCAGTGGATGACCCACAGCTGGTGCCTTGTTGATCTGCATCCTCAATTTCAGGGGTGGGGATTTTGTGAAAATTCCGCCTTAGTAGTCGGAGAACTACAGAGGAATGGATTATAAACCTTGGGAAAAAGCAAGATCTCTTAGTATAAATAACATAAATGTAATTCCATTCAGATATTGTCTGTTCATACTCCACTTTTTCATTCACACCAAATATCAGTTTTCCTCGATATCTATCCATCTAGGGTCGTACGACAAGTTGTCTCTTTACACAGGAGATTATGGGAATTTTACAGTAAAATATCTCCTCAGTATCACTTTCCCTTTCAAAGAAGGAAGATAAAGACAGAACACCTGTGCGTGGTGTCCCCCACGAGCCTGGGAGTGAAATTTTATCGCAGAGCCAAGTTCAATTAATCTTCATAATACTGAGCAAGTTGGCCCACGAGGCTATAATTCATGACTCCAAGGAAAACCATCTCTGACTCCAAAAGATATCAGCTCATATCAAAATCTCTTCAGCTTTTCAATTACGACCTGTTACATCTTCATTTCAATGAACACAGCTCTTACGATTATTCCTTGGAATAGACGTGTGGGAAATACAGACGAGATTACAAGATGATGCAAAGAAGGAGTACAATCTTGATGAACGTGAAATTTCGAATTCTGGCAAGGAAATTTACAGATTGAGCTTTGTGCGCCCGCCAAGACTTCGCTTGCGAGAGTGCAGCTGATACTATAAACACAAGACAACGATGGATGGTGCCGTGGTCTGCCTCCTAGTGATGATCTCCAGTGTAATTTGTGTAGCTTGGGCAAATACTTAACTTTGGAAGGAGACTCCTCAGACCACACTTCGCGCGAAGCCAGGTCAACGGACGATGGGGGTATGTCAAGATAGCCCAGGGGTTTGAGAATTTCTTCTAGATGGGTACTCACGGATGAGGGTTGCCTTGGGTTTAAGTAAAAAACGACCACGACTTTGCAGCGATACTTGAAAATGAAATACGAGTCATGAGTGTCCTACTTTTAAATTGAAACATCTACTCTGTACTTTACCTATGAGTATGTGTTACAGAAAGACAGCTGCATACTTAATTCAAATCTTACGCAAAAAACGAAGGAGCCTGTGTGTTCTCAATCTTTGACACTGCGCAGGGATGTCTCAACTGAGGCGTTGATCTCCAGGCTATACTTTTAGCCATTTTAAGTCTGATTATTTTTCTTAATGGTAATGCCATATACCAGCCAGCACCATTAGCTGTTGATGCAAACAAACCTGCACGTCTCAACCCAAACAAGCAGCAATAAGCCTCCAAAAGTATAAACTCAAAGCATTTCATACCTCTCATTATAATCTTTTTCTCTGATGATTCAGACAATAAAACTTGGAAACAGTTAATTGATCTAGTGGATGCTCGGGGGCCAATGCCACCGACCATGACGGATGTAAGATCGGCATCATTCATTGATTCACGACAAAGACGGTATACGGCTTCGTTTAAAGATTATGGCCAATTTATGGAATCATTGAGAGATGAGCTTAGGACAGAACTACCAGATACATTTTTCGATAATTTCGACGGCTTCTACGAGATGTACTTTGAGGAAACAACTTGGGCAAATAAACGTAAAGATATTGCAAAGCGCTATGTGAACAGGTGAGATAAAGTGAGCTTTTAGTTCCCCACCAATCCAACGGAGACCAATGTTTGGGAATGGTTCAAGGATGTTCAAGCAGAATATATCGAGCCTTACAAACCATACAAGACCTCCAAAGAACAGGAGCCTATTCCTCTCCGTGCCCAGACGCTCCGTACTACGGAGCCTAGGCAGATAGATGGTGCATTGGCTCTACGGCAAATTGATATCTTCCTCCATAGCCGCAATCACCCAGCGGGCACTTCCCACGACTGGCGAAACTTACTCATCAAAGAAGAGCTGAAGACTTCATCTGTTTTGAAGTAGACCCATCAGTTATTCTATCTCTCGGTTTACGTGATAGGGTTATTCTAGGTGCAGCAATTGCGACGATTTGCCCATGATTTTTCTAATGCTTGTGACACAACTGCAACTCTGAGTTTAGGATCGATCTGGACCGTATTTATTCGAATTCATCCAAATCAGGGGGAATTATGAAAATCTTTTATACGTCGTTGTCACCTAGAATAAGGTGAGAAACAATGAGCTTGGCCTTGACTCCAGTATTTATTAAGACGGGAAAACCATCGATACGATCATATACGTTGATACCATGAAGGAGAAAAAATTATACCTTCAGTCACACCCCTTCCAGGAGTAGAAAGAAATGTATCACGTGGCATGATAAGTTTTCTTTTTTTAGACGAAAAATTTGTAGTAAAGATTTCCTGGAAAGGTGTGGGTCAAAAGTTAGAAGTCGAACTTCATTTGAAAGCACGCAATATGAGAGGGCTAGCGATATTGATTGAATCGAGTGATTGCTGCAAGATTTGTGACTCTCGTAGCGACTTATCTTTCACGGAAGGAATGAAAAAAGATATTCATCCACCCGAATCCAAAATAACGGCTTGCAACTCAGTGCAATTCAGATTGTTAATGTTACGGCTTGACCGTGGTTTAGCTTAGGTGGAGACCTAAGCGGAGTTTGGGGGCGTATTCGGGAGAGTGTTACATATTATCTTGTATCAAGCGACTAAGTTTCACTTGGCCACCTTCCATTAAAGCTAGGAAAGAATGTGAGACGGCGAAGTAGAATTGCCAAGTGAGAGAGTCAGCTAGATGGCAAAGATGACGACGGGCAGTGGCGAAGCAATATGTCATTCTCACCGACAGAGTACGTATTGGATGAGCTAGAAGGATATACAAATAGTCATTGCCCGTAGTTGTGATACTTCTCTCTTCATATAGTTTGATCTTTTTAAAAGCACACTAAAACCAGCTTGGTTTCGTCACATTTTAAACTGTATCTTTTTTAGTTTGTGCCACCCGTCATTGAGCAGATCGCGACCTCTATTTGCGGCTTAGGGTTATCATCAAACAAAAATAGAAGTGATAGTGGATGCCAATTTATACAACACCTTCTTCAACTTCTAGCGAAACTGTCGGTTCACAGAGCGGCCTCTCCTTTCAGACAGCCTTGGAATTCGAAAACCTTGAAACAGTGACAATGGACGCTCAGATGAGTAATGATCGAGTAGCCACCGAGGGATTAACGGAAATAGCGGAGTCATCTCTTCTCGCCGAAATAAGGGCGATGAGATTAGGGTACGAACGGGAAATAAATTCTTTTCGAGAAGAACTAGCATCCATGAGAGATAGTCGATCACATGGTACATTACATGTGAATGACACTGCGGAAACGCCAAGTCGCAATACTTTCCAGAGACAAAATGGATTGCCAGTAAGTAGAAGAAAGGCTCTCAAATGGCCAGAAGCCTATGATCATAAAAATCCCACGAAATGGCCAGCGACATATGGCGTCCTTAAGTACATATATCAGTGAAATGTGGAAAACGAGGAGTTTCTTCAGCCATCGTATTTCTTTATGCGCCTTTTCAGCTGTGCTGTTATTGGCGATGCGAAAGATATGATCTCTGGAAAGGTCGAGGAAATGATGAAAGACGGAACAACGTGGGACGCGATCGGTCTATTGAAATCAATGGATGACACTTTTCGAGATCGGAACGCTGATAAAAATGCGTCAGTACTATTACATGCGTGTAAACAATTCAAAGACGAACGATTATCGTCCTTCTTACCTCGATTTCAAAGACTTCTCGTCCGTAGTCCCTCCTCAACTGTTGGAGACGTGCATAAGTTGCATCTGTTAGAAAATACCTTGAATAAAGCGACTCAAAATCATTTAATTGGGCGTACACAACCAACAAATTTCATTAGTCTCGTCGAGTTCTTATATATAGTTGGAGCTCAAATAGAGAGAGTGGGCATGGTCAAAACGAAAGAGTATGCCGACGGACAAATAGGCACTTTCGACGATGCGACGCGGGATGTGACAGGAGGTAAATTGCTTGGAGCTAGCTACACACCCTCGTATAATCACATATATTCGACAGAGAGTCGTGAGAGAGTTGAAGATGGTGATGGTGACACGAAAATGACTGGTGTCAATAGAGCTCGAGCGAAATGGGTTTCATCTAAAGAGTACGAGAAGCGAAAGGAAGATGGTCTGTGCCTGAGGTGCGGAAAAACCGGGCACATGATCGGGAAATGCCGTCTCCTTCCGTCACGGCGTCCGACAACGTCTGTTAAGCCAAGTAGGCTAATTAATACGCTTGAGGAAAGCGAGTTAGATATGGAATCCAGTTCGGAAGAGTTAAAAGAGTAGCTCTTGAACAAAGTCACGTTCAAGAGCCGTTCCATAGAGTGAGCAAAATGACGGCACTTTCGCAATCCATAGAAGACAGAAAAGCAGAAAAGAAAATGAACGGTAAATCTTTCGTAATAGACTCCTTAATCAATCAAATCTACTCTGTTCCAACACTTATTGACAATGGATGTGAATGTTATGCTGCCATCAGCGACTCTTTAGTGCGCAAAGCTAATCTCCCGAGAATAAAAGTAGCTCCCAGAAAGCTTACTGAGGCAACTAGTGGCCAAAAAAAAGACCAAAATATTACAGATATGACCAAAATGGTTGTAGACATAGATGGATATAAAAAGACTGTCTATGCATACATTATTCCGAAACTTTCTCATCAGCTGATACTTGGGAAACCGTGGATGGAGCATGAGGATGTAATATATCATGCAAAGGAACAATTTATGGAAATTCGTGAGGCGATTATAAACAGTCAGCCCCTTAGAGTATGGGAAAAAGTTTCGCATCATGAAAGGGCAGTAAATTTGAATGTATCAAGCCTCTCAGCGGGTGTATTTCTTGCAACCATAAGAAGGTCTAGAAGGGAAGGTGCTGAAGCAACTCAGTTGTTTGCAGTAACGTTGGATGACATCCAAAAAGCGCTCGCTCCTACGACCAAGTCTACAACCAACCTAGAAAAACTCCCAAAGCAATATGACAAATTTGTTGAACTCTTCAAGAAAGAGATGACAGACAAACTCCCACCTCACCGACCAGGCTGCGATCATGAAATTAGGCTTGAGTCTGGAAAAGAAGTGCCATGGGGGCCTCTTTATGGTATGAGTAGAGATGAATTGTTGGTCTTGAGAAAGACTTTGACAGATTTGGTGGATAAAAATTACATCCGTGCGAGTAGCTCCCCTGCAGGTGCGTCAGTGTTATTTGTCCGGAAACCGGGAGGAGGGATACGTTTTTGCGTCGATTACCGAGCTCTAAATGCCTTGTCAAAAGCAGATCGGTATCCTCTACCCTTAGTAAAGGAAACTCTAGCCAAGCTAAGTAAATCAAAATGGTTTACAAAATTGGATGTACGATCAGCCTTTCACAAATTAAGGATAAAGGAAGGAGACGAATGGAAGACTGCATTTCGTACCAGGTTTGGACTCTTTGAATGGCTGGTGATGCCCTTCGGGTTAAATGGAGCTCCAGCGTCTTTTCAGAGATATATCAACGAGACGCTGCGCAAATACCTTGATGATTTCTGCTCCGCATACGTTGATGATGTCTTAGTCTACACGGACGGAAGCTAAGTAGACCACGAAGATAAAGTACGGCTGGTGCTAGAAAAGTTACAAAAAGCCGGTTTAGTACTTGACATCGACAAATGTGAATTTAGCGTCAAGAAGACGAAGTATCTTGGATTCATTATATCATCAGAGGATCCAGTGCCCTCCATTAGAATGGACCCCGAAAAGGTCAGAGCTATATCAGAGTGGGAGGCACCCACAACAACAAAAGGACTGAGAAGTTTTCTAGGTTTCGCGAACTTTTATCGCGGCTTTATTAGCGGATTTTCTAAGATTTGCGCCCCACTAACAAATTTAATAGGAAAAGGCACTGTGTGGAAGTGGAATGTTGAACAACAAGAAGCCTTCGACACACTCAAGGCTAAATTTATCGCAGAGCCAGCTTTAGCACAGTGGGATCCTGACCGAGAAACAATGATAGAAGCAGATAGCTCAGGATTTGCGTTAGGAGGCTGTCTACTCCAAAAACAGAAGGGAGAGGCGTGGATCTCTGTGGCATATTACTCTCGAAAATTAAGCGGACCGGAGATGAATTACGAGATTCACGACAAAGAGCTCCTTGCCGTTGTTGCATGCATGAAGGAGTGGGATGCGGAATTGAGAGGGTTAGCAAAAGTCTTCACAATATTGACTGATCATATGAACCTTAGATATTTCTTGACAACAAAGAAGTTAACTGAACGACAAATACGTTGGGCAGAATTTCTATCAAGGTTTAGATACTCAATTCAATACATGAAAGGGGCAGATAACGAAAGACCGGATGCCCTTTCACGTAGAGACCAAGATAGGCCAAAAGAAGGAGACCCACGTTTGATGAGCCGAGAAAGACAGTTGCTTAATCCGGTCAATATTATTAAAATATGTCTAGGTGATGTCGAAGTTGCAGAAGGTAAGAGGATTTTTGTCAATGAAGATCTACAATTGCTATGGGATCAAGCGCTCAAACATGACTTAAATTTCAGGCGAATCGTAATAGCAGTCAAAGGTAATGAGCGAGCATGGCCGAGAGACCTTAAAGTAGACACAGAAGGGTCTGAGCATCCTACAGCACTTAAAGCAACAATTGCAGCTTGTTCGTTTGATGAGGAGTCCAGGTTGCTTTATTATCAAGGCCGGATCTGGGTACCATTATACGAGCCTTTGACAACAGCACTAATAGAAAATATTCATAGCTCAACCGTTTCCGGACACCCTGGCAGGGATGCCACATTAGCACAAATAGCAAGGGATTACTTTTGGCCAGGTATTAGTAAAGCGGTTAGAAGATTCTGCAAGAATTGTAATGTGTGCGGACGTTCATCTATTTGGAGACATCAAAAGCAAGGACTTCTTAAACCACTTCCTATACCTGAACGCTTTCATCAAGAACTTTCAATCGATTTCATGGTTGACTTACCCTTGTCAAATGGCTCCCGGAATATTATGGTAATAACAGACCGGTTACTAAAATCGGTAACTTTAGAAGCTATGGATAAAATGGACGCAGAAACGTGCGCAAAGAGATTCTTAGAATGCCATTGGAGATTCCATGGTTTTCCAAAAGCGATAACAAGTGATCGAGGCACAAATTGGACGAGCAAATTCTGGAAACGCCTTTGCGAGCTTGTTGGAATAGAACAGAGATTAAGCACGGCATATCACCCACAGACAGACGGCGCTACGGAGAGGGCAAACCAGGAAGTCCAAACTTACTTGAGAGCTTACGTTGCCTACACTCAATATAACTGGTCTGATTGCCTACCTGCAGCCCAACTAGCCATAAACAACAGAGACGTAAAGAATATTAGTGGAATTAGTCCTTTCTTTGCAACTCATGGATATCACATAAGTGCCATTCAGAATACTGATGATGAGTCAAAAGTTCCAGTGTCCATGGGAAGAGAGAGAGCTGAATCTTTTGTCGAGCGTTTGAGTGCAATCACAACTTTTATGCAAGCTGCCATGGCAGCGGTACAGGAAAACTCAAAGGAGCAAGTTGACAAGAAGAGGACCCCAGCACCGAGATATGCTATTGGCGATGAAGTATGGCTCCTATTGCGAAATATAAAACTAGATGGACAACCTTCAAAGAAGCTAGGATGGCAACACGCGAAGTATAAAGTAACAAGAGTTATTTCACCAGAAGTGGTAGAACTTAATGTTAATGGGAAAATTCACAATCGTTTCCATGTGGACTTACTATTGCCGGCTAACAACGATCCATTACCATCTCAAACTGTCGACGAACAAGAACCAGAGCCAATTTCGAACGTTGATGGCGAAGATGAATACTACATTGATGAAATAATTCGCTGTAGAACATGGAAGGGTGAAAGGCAAGCCTTGGTGAAGTGGACAGGTAATCCCATACTAGAATGGACTTCCCTCACACACCTACAAGAAACTATTGCCTTAGACAACTGGGAAAAAGTGTGGGGCTCTGCAGAATCAAATGATGGACCAAAAAGAAAAAAAAAGGGGAGGGAGACTTCCAATTTTGTTGACTCATCGAGATGAGTAGGGGGGTAATGTTACGGTTTGACCGTGGTTTAGCTTAGGTGGAGACCTAAGCGGAGTTTGGGGGCGTATTCGGGAGAGTGTTACATATTATCTTGTATCAAGCGACTAAGTTTCACTTGGCCACATTACATTAAAGCTAGGAAGGAATGTGAGACGGCGAAGTAGAATTGCCAAGTGAGAGAGTCAGCTAGATGGCAAAGATGACGACGGGCAGTGGCGGAGCAATATGTCATTCTCACCGACAGAGTACGTATTGGATGAGCTAGAAGGATGTACAAATAGTCATTGCCCGTGGTTGTGATACTTCTCTCTTCATATAGTTTGATCTTTCTAAAAGTACACTACAACCAGCTTGGTTTCGTCACAGTTAAATTCAGTTGAAAATATGGAGGCGATCAAAGGTGTAAAGCGTAGTGGCGAGTCCATTGATAGCACTATTGAACAAAAATTTTGAAGGAGTTTGATCATGTTCCTGAATGTTGCTATGCAAGTTCGTTGCAGCGTCGCGGTGGCGAGAATAAAAGTATGACATCGGGCGCCACGAAGTAACCCTGCAGCGGAAATAGATCTAAAGACAATGAAAGCTTATAAAAATCTATCGGAAATGGAGACATTTAGCTTTTTGACCTGTGAGCCCTTTATTTCATTTAGGTCCCGGACACAATCTTGTGCGCCGTAGAGGGGCTATAATGTGTAATATGGTAGCGCTTCAAATTGTCCAGTGAATTTATAAAAGGCTGTATAGCGTGAGTACGAAGAGTTTATTGGGGGTTTTATATGCCTAGATTGCGCCATTTTCGCTTAAGTTGTGACTTAAGCTCTGTTTCGCTTACATTTGTACTTGTAGCGCATACCTTCCACTCTTTTAGCGGTAACCTCAGCGTATCATTCTTTTAGTCAATTTCTTTCGTTTCAGGAATATAACGCGAAACTTCCAACAAAATCTTGATGTTGATTTAACAGCCCCTGAAATACCTATTGTCCTTCATAACCCGAATATATAAAGCAGCCCCAACATTGGGCAAGCGGAATAGAATACCGATGTCATGATGATACCTGCTCGAGATATGAAGAAGCTCTGCATGTCGAGCAAAACTGGGGAACCATTACCGGTAGCTAGACCTGGGCCTTTGGCTACGCAAATCAATAATTTTCCAGGTCCTTCAGGCGAAAAAACTGTCGTTGATGTAGAGTTAAATTACTGCACCTTTCCCGGGTGTCATCATCACAGATTCCTCGGCGCTTTATGGGAATCCTTGGACGACATTTATCATGTCGAAATATCTCGATCATGCCACTGATAAAAATATAACACCCCTTAACCTGACCTGTGGCCTACATGATGCAATTCAGGGTCACAGGTCATTTTATATGAAGTCGAAGGTATTTTACCGCTATATCTCAACGAATAATATTACATTGATAGACCTTGAACTCAATGGCAACTGTTGTGGGGTGTTAGTAAACTTGGATTTGGCGATTTCGATGAGTGACGAGACCTTTCCAGTAGATGCAAATATTCAGATTATCATGATGGAATTTATTGTGCTTGGTTACTTAGAAACTTTGAATATCCAGGGGGTAAAGAAGCTCTTCATTCATATCGACACAATCTGTCAAGTATGAACTCATTTGGGTGTGCAAACGCCATGGCTGGGACTCGAGTGAGTACTCTTAACTTGGTTTGTTGAGCAGTTGGTACAAAGAAAATATGACGAATGCTTACTCCGCCAAGTACTTTGCAATTTTTCTCAAGGATCTCAGAAAGCAAATTTTTGATACACTCTCGCCAAAATTTCATTGTGTAAAAGAATCGGCCACAGATTCGCGAGCGATAATGTTCCACAGGAATATCGACCTATAGATAGAGGTCGTCCCCTTACCTGGAAATCTCTATGATTCCATACTGTGAGTTTTCGACGAGGAAATCGTGGGGATAAGGTGTGAGTTGAATCGTCAAGAGCGATCCTTATAGTGTCACAGCTAGTTCGGTTGTATACACTGAAATAATTAAAAAATAAAAGTAGAAAAGAGCAACTCTTTACTATTTATTAAAAATATAAATAACTACGAACATGTTATCTTCAAAGCAGCTTAATGAACGAGATAATCCGGTCAGTGCAGAGGTCGGAGCCATGTAGGTGATATCAAGGATAGTATTCTGATATCCACGGTAGGTGCTTGAAACTCGCATCCGTAATTAAAAGGATAGGATAATAGTTTTACTCACTCATTTCTTTGCATTTTGGTCAGTCCGGACGCTTTCGCACATACACGGGCTGATCAATCAACCATGACAACAGATAATATACTAAGCAGCTATATCAATGTTTGCATCGACGTTTTGTGTCTGTGCATTGATGACTATGAGAATGAGACTAATCTGAATATCATTTAACGGTTTTCAATTCGCTTACTAGATATAAATGAAGAGATGAAAAGGCTATTGTTGTATATTATTAGCTAGCTAAATGGAGCAGTACGATATTAAATTTGGACAAATAAAAGACTCACCACTTGTCGTATCCAGTTTTATACTGATCAATATACCACGAGAGCGTTGTTTCAACGAGCTAGATTGGAAGATGGGCTAAATTATTCAGGAAACTAGTGAATCCACGACCCACACGATTATGATGGGAATAGTAAGATTTCAATCATAACGAAATTAAGCACATTTATTCAACTAATTATAGAAGGGATACTAGATAAATTCCTCCTCACTAATCTGTTGGTAACGTGGCATGTTTGATAATCCCAGTGGCTACAATTTCAGCCGGTGGTTCCTTAATTTATTGTGTGACTTTGATACAGGGCAAAGATAGAGAAAAGTACTCGGTGAAAGATGAATACTTTAAGCCCATTAGCGCTATTTGATACCAGTGGAGGGGTAGAGAGAGGTGTGTTTATTGTACTACTTGAGTCTTAGACTACCTAATACATTGGGCTCCTCACTGGCCCAGGCCACACCTTGTACAGTGATCTTTACCTCTTTTGTTACTTGAAAGATCATTGATATATTGCCCGTGATGAGTAGCCATTCAGCTTAGTGTTAACCCGTGGAATTCAGACACCTTTTCCACGGAACCTTCTACCCCAAAAAAAAAATGGTAGCAATGGAAACTGCGTGCGCTGGAAAAAATCTCAAAAAACTTGCAGCCCCAGCCAGGCGAGGCCTAGACACCGGGACCACATGAGATGCGCATATTCATCTATATCTGCCTTCTTTGTAGCATTAAAGGCTACCTTGATCCAATCCACCATTTTTGTATTGGGTGCAGGGTACGTTCCGGAAACTCATCGGATGGCTTTTCCTCCATGACCAAGGGTTGGTTACGAGAAGGGCTTCGACTCTATCATCTGATCTGATCGTGGTTAGCTTCATGATAGTTGTGATACGAGGCTGAGTTGAGAGATGAAGAATATGCAGATGGCGAAAGCGACTGGGAATCCTCATCGAAGTGAGGACTTTATTACTCAATCTCGGCTCTGCAGACTCTTCATTTGGTGGTGGAGGTTCGTGGGGGACATCACTGACAGGTGTTGATAATCGACTTTAAACTTGATCGTCGACTTTCATTCATTGATCTAGTTCAACGTCCTATGCGGTATCTATATACAGAACCATGAAGACGGTAAGCCGCTTTGGTAAGGGAAAAAGCTTTCAACAAACAAAACCCGATGTCCTGCCACTTTGAACCGACCCGGCTTAATGCTGAGGACGTTCCTTTCAACCGCAATTTTATAAACTTTCCCCAGAATTCGTTAACTCCCCCTTCGATCAGACTAACGTTATGAAAAATTGAAAAGAGAAGGCACCTCCTCACTCGGCGTTGGTCTTCGAAGTGTTTGAAGAGTAGGTCCCGATGGCGGTGCTGCTGTCGAGGCGATTATTGGTGCCGCTGGGGCTTCGACTACCTTACGCGGTCGTCCTGGCCCTCTTTTGAGTACTTCAGCCTTTTTACTGGTGACCAAAGTAAATCCCTGATCATCAGTTGGTCTGGCTGTTTGTGTTGGCGCCATTGTTGGTTTTTCATTCCAAATTTCTGCCGTCCTCGATAACAGCTCCATCCGAGCCTTCTCCACACTTCCCTTGTAAACCTGGTAGGTCCGACACGCTGCTTTCTGCCATGAACGATGTTCCTTGCCGCAGTTGGCACAAGAAACCCTTTTCCTCGGACAGTCCCGAGTTTGGTGAGCGCCAGCGCACTCACCGCACCTAGCTGCCTTTCCACACGACGCCTGCGTGTGTCCCCATTGGCTGCAGTTGTAACACTGCTTTGGCTGAGCCCTTGGCGACCATACCTGCGCGGTGAAGAGCATGGCGTTAATAACAAGGCCCTGTCGCACTACCTCCGTTTGCATTGCCTCCGATGGGAGGCTGACCACAATTGAACCACGATTGCGACCGTTTTTCTTCGATCGCTGATGTTCCTTTCCATCGTGTAGCCATCGTATTCTGCTAATTACCAGGCCTGGAATACGTGCCTTCGTCGCCGTCTCAATCTCCCTGATGATGGCGTAGTTGTTGGCATCTCTGCCACCCTCAATTCTTGTCCGCAGTGGGACTCCGGAAACCTCGACAGGAAAGTCTTGCCGCAAAATTTTAAATTCGCTTGGTTGTCGCATGTTAAGCGCCGCGTCTCTCTGGGACGCCGACTGGACAAACACCTCGGTGTCGTTGCTTCGCATCTGTCGAATTGCAAATGCGCCTTCGATATGTTGTTGTGCCTTTGACAGCAGCTCTTGTGGCTGCAAGTTTTGTGCACCATCGATTCTTATCCTAACCGCTGTCTTCGTCATTTGCGGAGCCACGACCGACGCGTAGCTCCTTTGTGTCGGCGCGCCCGAAGCTACTGCTGGTGCAGCTTTTCGAGCGGGATCCGCGAGGCTCTTTTTGACAACCTCCTCGAGCGCCATCATCCCCTCCTCGATAGGAGACTTCTTCTGGGTCATTTCTGTCCAGGCCCTTTTGTGTGCGTTGAAGGCCTTGACGGCCTCGTTAACGTCCTCCATTGAGGGTAGGTCCTCCTCATCCCCCTCTCCCATCACGATTAGTCTGACCTTTTTCAATAGTTCCCCTAAAATTTCAAGGTTCTTATCCTTTGGAGCTGTTTGCGCTCCGCTGCCGTTATTTGTTGGGGCCATTGTCGCATTTTGCGACGCGTCGAATCCGCTGGATTTACCCACACCAGCACCTACACTCGCCATGTTGGAGCACGGAAAGCGAAAAGATGAGAGGAGAGTAATAAGGATGTAAAAATAAGAATCATGATGTCAAATTGATGATACGGGCAGCGTGGAAGGCTGCGCAGCTTTCTGGCAAAAATGGTGTTCAATCGTCGACTTTGTTTATTGGTCTGTTATCACAGACACGGAAATAGATTCATGAGATTGCTTTATGAGAGGCTAGGATTAATTCCGATGTAATTTGGTTGAAGACTTGTCCTCAAATTTAGAGGCTACAATGTCTTTATATATCTACGTATTTACCCTCTTATTCACCATATCCGCTAGCCATTCTATATCTAGCGTGCATAGCCTGAATTATCTCATGGTTTTGGGATGGAAATGTAGTTTCCGAATAGCAGTATTCTTTTAGCTACTACAATACGTAGCAGCTTCAGATATAGTTTACCGTGCGATACTTCCACCTTAGCTACATGCCTCCTTGATATACTGCCGGCTCGGTAATCAGTGAGATAACCGAAGCTAAACCTTAACAATAACCTTAATTACGAAACCATGAATACCTAAGACAGAAGCCTGCAATCTAACACAATTAGGTTAGGAATTGCCAACTACAACCTAATCCAAACAGTTGAGAATAGTCCCCCTGTGGTGCCGGTGTAATCGCTCAGTATGCTCTACATATCTAGGATAGCCAAGAAGAATGGCATCCGAGTCGAAGTCGAAAGCAAACACATGCATATCTCCATTTGACGACTTCTCGACAATGCCTCTCTTATCATTCTCATCTGAGTCCTCAACCTCTTTCTAACCACGCATCATCTCGCCTCGGCGACCAAGCAAGAATTTGCTCTAATTGCAAACAGGAGCTTGCCCCATTAATTTCCAGCCATCTCTCACTACACATTTACGACGCTATTTATACCCGTAAGAAGGAAATCAAGTCGAAAAATACAAAGCCTGGGTCCTGGCTTATGGGAGCCAGTTGCTCTAATGGGGCTAGACATCTTGAGAAAGAACAGGCGACTGAGATGTGAAGCTAGAGGGGGAATAGGTCTTTGAAGAACATACTGGGACTCCGATCTTTAAGGCGTTTTCAATATTGTACGGTTTTTTGACGCCAAGACAAAAGTTTCGGCAAATTAGCCAGGAGGGCTTCTATTGTCGATGAGTCAACGGCGCTCCCTAGAGTCCTAGACGTCACAAAAGAAGTTAGGCTAGGCTACCATACAGCAATCATGCTCTGTCAAGGCTTTTCTGACATTTCAGCACGACCTTCGGGAAGGAGTTGGAAGGAGGCTAGAAAGACAAAGTGTTAAATTCCCTGGGTACACACAAGTCTGCAGTGCTCAGCTGACCGGCCTCTTCGAACACTTCAGAAGGGTCACTATATCTTCGGATTTAGTCCTAATGTCGGTATTAGAAGAGCTCCGCAC